CCAGTGGAAGACCGCGAGAAGCTGAGCACCAAGGGGAGAGGGTGGCCTGGGTACTGATGACCAGGAAGCCGGGCAGCAGGAATCCATGTAAGCAGTGGACTTGTCATCAGAATATACTTTTTGATGATATTGCTGGAAGGGATTTGTAAGATATCTCTGGAGTATTAAAGCTGGGGTCATGAGACCACTTAAGCTTCTGCCATGTCTCAGAAGCAATAACACTGGCTTGCAAGAGAAGAGAAGGCAGGTTAAGTGACACTACGTAAGCAGACTAGTTAGGTTAGGACTAAGGTTAGAGGAAAGAGGTGATGCTGATGGCAGAGAAGGAAAGTAAGAATGAGTCCCAGAAGAAAAGTCCAGCAAAAAACAGGAGTTAGGAGTTGGGTTCTAGACACATTGAGTTTCATGGTGCCCAGTGGGCATTCAGGCCAGCAAGGAGACCCAGAGTGTGGAGGAGCTGAGGCACTCTTCTAGACTGGAGACCCTTTGGATTCTGGGAAGCAGATGCCATTCTGACCCTGGCTTATATGGATGTCTCTGTAAATTACTCTGAGCTCTCCGTGGGTGGCCTCCGATGCTGTCAGTGAGTTCACATGTCAGCCTGAATCACCAGGGCTTTTCCTCCCCAGAGTGGTTTGGTAAAGTGGGTTAGCCCTGGGGGTGAGGAGGAATTTGTTTTCTTTAGGGCAGGCTGCAGCTAGACTGATATCCCCTTAGGATATCCACTCTGTACAGCGAGGGGGATGGAAGCAGGCTTGTGGGGGCATGTAGTTCTCAGAGCTCCAAAGACAGAAGCAGCCTCTGCCTTTAAATCCCCCAGTCCCTTTCAGATAAGATAGTGTAGTGACAGGTCTATGGTGATAAAAATAAGCAAAATGAGAATTAAGTCTGGGTTCAAAAAACTTGATAAGATAAATAACTTCTAAATGGTGACAGTACAAACAAGACACTAATAGCTAAAAAACAAACAAAAAAAACTCTTTGGTTGCTTAATCTACCAAAAGAAAGTGAGCTTTGTACAGATGGGAGTCTTTGTTAAGCTTTGTTTAGCAGATTGAAGATATTATCTAACCTCTTAAATCAAGGCTAGCCACAGATTCCATGTCTACCTGGAGGTGGGCAGAGAAGAGATAGAAGTAGGTGGAGAATACCAATGAAATGTCCCAACTGTAATGCGAAGAAGGCTGGAGAAGGTATGGAGAAGGCATAATCCCATGGATGTGAGCCTCAAAGAGCCACACAAGGCCCAGAGAAGCCAAATACCCAGGGGAAAGGACGATTCTGCTGACCATGGAGCTGGACCCGTCACCACAGATGTGATCCACCTCTCAGTCTTGTGAGCACCCCACTGCCCATCGCTCCTTCTCTGTACAGAATGGAATTGAGGGGCTGGTGGAGCTCAGGATTCCCCAGAGAGAGCCAAAGACTTCTACTGATGGGCCACTCAGCGTGACACCCATTGGGAGAAGGGAGGGAAAGAAAAATCTTTGCAGATTCTTGAATCTTTTACGCTTCCTCTCTCCAGCATACACACTGAATTTTTAAACAGAGACATCCAGGAAGAAACAGACCAAGGTCTCCAAGTAAGGAAAATAGGTACGTGTATCCAGAGAGGCAAGTGTTAAGTCCAGGACTGGTTCTCAGGCCAAGATGGGATCAACCTTGTTTCAAGACAACTATTTATTAATGAAGACTCTAGTTAGCTTGGTGGAGGTGAGGGGTGGAGAGCGAGCCCAGATATGCAGACAAGAGCCTTTGGTATTAGGAGAAGATTTTGCAATTGTTTAAGTTACGGATGGACACTGTTCCTCTGTGACAGCTGAAAATATATCCCCCTCCTCCCTCCCTATAAATCCTCAGTAACTCTCCTATTCACCCTTTTAGGGTCTGCTTCTATAGCTGACAGCAGTGATCTCTTTTCAGTCTTGGGACTCTCAAGTGTAGGGCATGGAGGAACCAGAACTCTAATTAGCAGCAAAGCCTATTGTCCTAATAAAGTTACCATTCTAAGGGAAAGAAAAGCCTGGTTCTTTCTCAGGAAGTGTATGAAGGTACAGACTCATAGTGAGAAAAGAAAGAAGAAAAGCGTACCAGCCATATTGATGATGGGAAGCCATAATCATGAGCTAAAATCACTTTAAGGAATCTTGACAGCTTTGAAACCTAGAAAGGATGCTCTAAACTTGGGTGGACTGTTTGATCCTGAGCAACAATATCTCTAAATAAATAGAACAAGGACTAGAGGTACAGATAATGATACACCAAGCAGGGTATCTCTGGGAAGTGGAATTATAATTTTTGCTTTTCCTTTTTGAATATCTGAATGTTGTTGATGACTACGTAGGCTGAGTGCAGGAGTGCAGCAGGTGGACAAAAGGCAGGAGGGTACTGCAGGCGGAGGCAAGGACAGAGCGTGGAGCAGCACAGGTGCTGTGGCGCGCACGGCGCAGCCCTGCCGAGATGCCCGAGTCTAAGGGGAGCCGCAGGCGAGCGGGGTGGAGGGAAGGCCGGGTCCAGAACACAGCAACTGTCTAAGGACACCAGGCTATCCCACAGGGAACTGGGGAGCCAGAGGAAACGAGGATGCTTCATCAACAGATGCTTCACAGTGAGGAAAGCAGTGACAGGTCACCACTTATCCCTCCTCCTGGATGACTGAGTCCCCAGCAGGAACAGCAAGTTTTAAGGTAGTGTTCTGGAACTCTTTTTACGCAAGATGAGCCCAAATTACGCAGGACCAAATCTGATTACCCAGGACACAAATGTGATGAGCAGCTTAAAAATGACAAATGTATACTATTTTTTTTCAAGCCTTTTTCAACGGATGAATATCCAGAACTTACAGTAAACTGTGCCCACACGGGCACGCGAGGAAAGTGAGCGGCTGTGCCTGCGCCCAAGCTCTCCCCTCCAGCACGCCCCTGCAGGCCTCATCAGACAAAATGACTGCATCAAGCTTGACTGAGAATTGTATTTTGCCTTTCCATGTCCCATCCAATAAACTCAAGTGATACAAAGTAGATGGTTCATCCAGAAATGCTTAACTTGAAATATAAAAATACGTATCACTAGTCCTTCAAGACCTCATCAGACAAAATGACTGCATCAAGCTTGACTGAGAATTGTCTTTTGCCTTTCCATGTCCCATCCAATAAACTCAAGTGATACAAAGTAGATGGTTCATCCAGAAATGCTTAACTTGAAATATAAAAATACGTATCACTAGTCCTTCAAGATTATCCTGGTTTTACAAAAAAAAAAAAAAAATTTTAAACCGATAAACATTTCATCAGATTTCTATTTGAAAAGAAAATGGCACTGAAGAGACAAGGCAACTTTTCCACGCCACTACACTGGCGTCTCTGAAAGGGGGAAAGGGATGTTAAGGAAATGGGGAAGAAAGCTTAAAAAGAGTGAAACACTAGCAAGCGGGGCCTCCTCTCCTTTTCACCTTAAGTCTTTTTTCTCTCCCATTCACAGCTTTAGATCCTTTGTTTGTTTAACAAACCATTACAATCATACCCAATTCAATAGGGGAGGAATGTGAACTCTCTAAGTAGCTGTCCTTGCAATCCACATGTGTGGTCCATCCCCCAGCCCATCAGCAGGCGGCTTTAATGTGCTCTTCTGTGTTCCTGTCGCCCTGGAGGCCGGCACCTTGCTCACAATAAGCCCCAATTTCCCACCGCCACATGCCTGCTCCTCCTTCCCAGTAGCCTATAGCAATGTCTGGAGTTGCTCCTCCTCCTCTGCCTGCCTGGCGATTCTCCTGGCCATCCTGCCTGGACTTGTCCCCTTCAGCTCCTGAGACAGACACTGCCTGGCGTGTGAGCCACCCCCTACCTATCTTCGGCCCGTGGACTCAGCACTGCATACTGAGCAGACACATTCCAGGATCTTTCTGGTTATCATGCTCAGTCTTCTAATGTCGAGCACGCTGCAAACGGAAGACACAGGGCAAGATTCCCTCTCCCCAACCTCCCAAATCTAATTACGACTGCTAGTGCCTTTCACAGTACCTAGCAGATATGCTGGCCTTGTTAGGATGGACTTCAATTTCTTAGCCAATAAATCAAAATGATACTTAGTAACAATATTATATTTCAATAGGAATAAACATAACATTTAGTAAAACTATATTTCAGTGGAGCTCAGAAAGCCCTCTCATGCTGTTCTAATAATTTCCATCTCACAGCCCTGTGAGATAGGTCGAAAGGCATCATTGGTTCAAAACACTTAAGTCCGTTGCCTATTAGCACCAACTAATGAGATTCCACAGGTAACACACTGCACTAAGCAAAGTGCTTAGAACAGAGTGATGCCCCAAAAGTGGTAGCTCTCATTGATATCACTACTGATGACAACGGTGACGTAGGAGGCACGTCTCAGCGCTCTGAGCCGAGCCAAGCCGTGTGCTCTTCCCACGTACCCCCTGCCATCTTTAGCCCAGCTGTCTGCATGAGCAGTGAACTGCAGCTACAGCTTTTATTACAGTATTATTTCCAAATAAAGGGTCAGAACGGGTAGCTGGATTCCCTGGGGCAGCTGGTATGTGGCCAGCATCTTCCTTGGGCTTATCTGTCAATGTCTTCCACAGAGGGAGGACAACCTCTTACCCATCTTCTTACATACACAAGTTAGGAGAGCAGGGGCAGCTTTCAAGCTTTTGAACTGACAGGGTTGTCAGTAGAAAATGCCACAGAGCTGCAGGTATTACTGGGGTTGTGGGTGGGGGACAGAAAAGGATATGAAAAGTTACTATCATCAGATTCCCTGCAATGTACAGTGTACTCCTGCTTTAAAAAAAAAAAAAAAAAAAGAAAAGGCTGAAAGAATCCTGTTCAAAGGTATTTTTCAGTGTGAGGGAGAGATGTATTTACTACTAAAACCTTTTTGAAGTAACCTGAACCTCCAGCATGTCCTTGCCTATATTTACTATGTGTTTCCAAGCAATTACTAATAAACATGCCCAATTAGAAATAATTTTAAAACTTGCGCACCTACTGGGTGACAGGAAACATCAGCTGCAGGGTAGGTATGGAATCTTCCCAGAAGTCTGTCTGAAGATTCAAACCTGTAAGAAGAGACTTGCACATCTTCAGTGAATGAAGCTAAAAACACATTCCCCCCATTATGCTATAACTTGAGCTCACTTCAACAGCACACACCCACATCTGATGGTGTGGAAAGCAGATTTTCTGCCTTTTCATACATTTTAATAGATGATCTTTAAGTTCTTATATCCTTTGTCCTATTTGCAACTGGATTAGAAAAACTTTCAAGTTTTTCCCTGCTTTCTGCAAGTGGAAAAAAAGAACATACGAAATTGCTTACATAAAACATTCAAAACAGCATTCAGAGGAAATGGTATTTTTTTTTTTAAACCAACAGTATTAAAATACTATAAAACAGGTATGCAAATCTATGCAATAACAGAATCTGAGACAAACTATGAGTAGGTCAGCAATGACAAGTTGGTGCTCATTTTCAATAAAGCTTCACATAAACATATAGATTTACCAAATTTGCAGAGTGGAAAAGTTGAAGTCTCAAAATACAGATTCCTAGGCCACAGGCAAACTAGCACAGACTGAAATAGCACCACTGAGCCTTCGAGAATGGGCATTTTTACCAAGGAGCCACATCTGCAGCCAGCTTTGTACCACTGAACCCTGATGAGCATTTGGAAACCAGTGTCTCTGTTCACCATTTAATTATAAAGCTTGGCTTCTTCCAACTAAGACTATTCTAACCAATTGATCCTCTGAGGGGGAAGGCTTTTCAGGATGTTCTTAACCCCTACAAAGGTAAATCTAGGGGGCTGGCTGGTTAGCTCACTTGGGAGAGCATGGTGCTGATAACACCAAGGTCATGGGTTCAGATCCCCATACCAGCCAGCTGCCAAAAAAAAAAAAGAAAAAGAAAAATGGTAAATCTGTTATGAAACAAAGCCAATTTTATCTCACTTAAGTGATTTATTCACTTGGTTGCCCGTTTTCTACTCTTAATTTGATCAAAAGGGCTATGTCCATTTATTTTGTAGGAGAACATCCTTTTAAGTTAAAGATAGAAAAATTAAGGCCATTTTTAGATAAGTTTTAAAATAACCCATCACAATTCAGGAAAAAACTGAAAGTGAGCAGGTTATCTGTCATTCAGAGAATTTGTTTTCGGGCCGGCCCTGTGGCTCACTCGGGAGAGTGCGGTGCTGATAACACCAAGGCCAAGGGTTCGGATCCCACATAGGGATGGCCGGTTAGCTCACTGGGTGAGCGTGGTGCTGACAACACCAAGTCAAGGGATAAGATCCCCTTACCGGTCATCTTTATAGAAAAAAAAAAAAAAAAAGAATTTGTTTTCAACATATTCTCTGTTTTGCATGTATAAACACATCACAAATCATCTCCATGGTCCACTTCTTAAAACGCTCGACATTTATTATGGTGGTTTAATTGGGTGGTCTCCAAAGGCTTGTATTAGATTTTTTTTTTTTCTTAAAGAGCTTTGAAAAACATTAAAGCAAAAGAGTAAAACTTTCTGGATGATTCCTCCTCTGTGTCTACCCATCTCACAAATGGACAATACCAATCTATGTATTCGGGGTAGGGCAGGGCTCTCTTCTGCTTCACAGAAAAGGGTGCACATAACATGAGGTACGCAAACCACGCAGTAGAGTAGCTTAGTTTCATTGTCAAAATATTCAAATTATCACAAAAAGAGAGCGATTCCTTTCTAAATTCAACAATACTCCTTGGCCTCCGAGGGCTCACACAGGAGCTTATTCTCAAGCTGTTCAATGTAAGCAGCACTAGTGAAAGGAGAACGCTGGCAGGGAGGAGATCAAGTCCCTCAGCCGCTGCCACCTGCCATCTCAGCAGCAGCTACAGCTTCTCCATTGCAACAGTTAACAATGCATCGGAGAAGCTGAGTCAGGCATGGCCTGGGGCGAAATCATGTGCAGGATATGACAATTTAATAGAGCAGAGAGGAGCCACTTAGGAAAACAACACATCTCATTTTGACAGGATGCTACGTGCAGACTGCTTTTCTGGTCAGAATTTAGATTTCAAAAGCAGAGAAAAAGGTTTCCATATGCCAATTATTTTTTTTTAAGTATGTGTTTAAAATGACTGTATCAAATTAAACGATCCTAAAGATAAATGCTTCTGAGTTCCAAAGTAGCAAGAAAAATCACATTTTTCTAAGAACAGAGATTAGCAAATGGTAAATAGATTAGTTAATTGTTTGAAATGAATAGGAAAAATTTTTTAGAAACGATTTGTTTGCTCATTGACAACAAAAACTAAGGTTTTCATGAATCTAGAGTGTATGATTTCTAGAATGCATTTTTGCTGTCACAATATGTTTTTCTGGGCATTTGCTTCTGTGAACAGCATTTAAGAACATGTCTTTTTCTCAGTTAATCAACTGTTTAGCTGCCTGCTGTGCGTTCACTGAAACCCCAGTTGAACAAAGGGATTTCCTCCCATTTTCAGCTCATTCACTTTTAGCTACCTCTGGTTTTACTGAAGCAAATTCTTTTCTATTTCTAACGATCTGAGTGGGAAAAGATTGGGCAACCCCCAAACACTGGGAAGTCTGCCTGGTTTTCGGTGAAAGAATCCTCTAGATTGAAGATGCGCTAAGTTTGTTTTTGAAAAGCCTCTAAGATATGTTTTATTTTTCTAAAGACCAATTCCAGATGGAAAAAAGCCTCCCCAATTTGGTAGATCACAGATAACTAAATCCTATTTCAGTGGGATGGAGCATGGTGAACAATGAGATTATGCCCCTGAAGTGGAGATCCTAAGTGAGATATCCAGATTCACCTCAAAACAATAACGTCATTTTTAAGATGACACAGAGCAGCATTTTGCTACAGGGACATTCTAAGTTTGAACAGCTTGTGGGCCTGGCACCTGGCCCTCTGCCTTCTCACGTTATACACAACCCAAGCCTCCAACTACTCCTTGATGTCAGAGCCTCCCAAATCTCTACCTTTGATCCTGCACTTTCCTTCCAACTCCAGACTCTTCCGTCCCGTCTACCTCCCTCCTGCACCTCTCAGTGTGGATATCTCACGCTGTCTCTCTCTGGAGGCCACCTGTTCTGAAGCAGAGGCCCTCCAAACTTGCTCCTCCTCCAGCATCGTTTGTTTTAGCTAATGGTACCCCCATGTAATAACAGTTATTGCTTCTGGGGTGCTCACCAGGTGATGGCCATTGTTTTAAGCACTTAACACCCTCAAAGACCATATGCGTAGATAGCATTAACCCTGTTATACTAATGGGGAAACTGAGGCTTAGAAGTTGTGCTAATTTGCCCAGGGTCCTACACCCAGCAAGCAGTTGAGCTAGTTGAAAGTCAACCCCTTCATATGTCACCTTCCAGCCTCTCCAAACTCAGACGAAACTCTGGAGTCATACTAGATTTTTCTCACTAAGGTATACAGATTCTGTGATCTTATTGTCTCTCAAATCTGTTTCCTTCTCTTGATTCCCATAGTACTTCATTGCAGGACCCTTCTGGAATTTTACTTTGTCCTCCCAACAACTTTCTTTTCTAGCGCATTTAAAACAAGTGGCAGGTTTTGTAAGCCTTTGTATTTTACCTCAGCTGAAGGCAGAAGCAGCCTGAGGAAGTCTGTATTAACAACATCTACACCCAATGAGGAAGTTCTGTGGAACTTCTGGGAGGGGGGAAGGGGAGGAGGAAAGATAGAAAAAAAAAAACACTCTCCCCTCTGCCCACCCCCCACCCCAGGCCCAAAAAGGAAGAGATCTGTCAGCCCCCAGCAAGGGGGGCCCTTGCACTGCTCTGTTTCCAAGGGCAGAATCCTTGAGAGGACAGCTGTGTGGGGTATGCTCCGGGAGGCCAGACCTTAGGCAAGAGGTTTCCAGCCTCCACTCGTGGCCCTGAGCAGACAGCTGCAAGGCTTCACGAGACTACTACTGTGATATACCAAGAAGGTCACAGGCTGGTTCCTCACCTTCCAGGCGCCAGGGAATCTCCAAGTTCAAGGACACTGCCCCCGGCCCCCGACACACACAGGGGAAGGGAAGGCACCTAAATATGACCCGGATGAAACTTCCTTCTAGGATGAGAGAATGAGAGCTACAGTCTGAATTTAGATGGTTACAGGGAATAAAAAAGGTAGTACTTCTTGCATACATGACGTTGTGAAGTGGGATTCAGACTTGCAGGGTGCCTCAATAAGGAGCTAAGGATCATACTTAGAATGCTGCATATCTGTGCTAGACTAGCTACAACTCCAAGAACTGGAGCCAATCTATTTTTCAAAAAAGACCACCATACCTCGTTGCAGAGAGAAGTGTGGACTCTGTAAAGGTGCTGGTGAGCTGGGGGTGGGGGATGGGGCAGTCCTGTGTTTTAGACCCTGGGGCAGATAGAGAAGGAAGGAAGGAAACAAGGACAGATGTTAGGTATACTCACAAGATTAACTCCTCTGATTCCTATGCAAATACCTAAAAAAGGAGAGGCATACAAAGTTATCTTTAAGGCCTTTATTTTAAGCTCTGAGTTGCTAGAAACAAAAGAAAAGAAAACCTCAGAAGTCTACTTGGAAGAGGAGAGAGACCAGGGCTGCTAGAGTCTTGAGGTCGACACCCCTGTCTCCCAAACCTGGACGCGCCTCCCAGACCAGCATGCTGGGATAGGGAGGCGGCCTGCTGGTTTCCATAAGATGCAAATGATGGTGTGCTGGAAAGTGAGGTGCTTCAGGGGAGAGGAGATTCCCACTCTAGGAAAAAGGATATAAATCCTGAATGTGACAAATTTGTTAACTCAACGATGTTGCAGGGATGGTAGGTACTTGTGGCATCAAATGACATGACTAAAGGGGTTCAGACTTTGAGATCTGTCATGTCCTCCAAACATATTCCACTTCAGTTCTGTGGCCAAACATCTGAGACCCTCAGAAGAGACCCCAAGAAAGCTGAAGAGGATTTTAGATTAGCAAAGATGTTGGTTATTACTCAGAGATTAGGACTTTCAGTGCAGAGAGCTCTGGCTGGAAGAACTTTAGATTCGCAAGAATCGGTAACCAGGGGATCCAATTTTCCTGCCAAATATCACCCCACTACATCTGATGGGCATGGGGCATGTCCAGAGGGAAGATGACTTGGGAAGAGGAGGAGATGCCTGAGGAGCAAGTGACCTGTGCAGAGGCAGAGTTGGCCAAGATGGGCCCCTGGAGTCTGTTCACAAATCCCCCTCTACCGGCTTTGGTTATAAGGATGATGGGCGTATTGTGTTAAATTGTACCCAAGACAGGGAACATGGAAGTGAGGGTGTGGGGCAGGAGGCAGAGGTTTGGAAAACCAGAGCAGCCCAAGCGTGGGGCTGCTCTGGTCTCACAAGGGTCTAGCCTCTGCTGGCACCTGCTTCCCTCATCACACCAGAGAGGTGAGACCCAGAAGGGAAGAGAGAAAGAGACAGTGAACACCCACATGACCCATCCCTACCCCCACCACCTAACATAGGCAACCATCTACAGGAGGCTACTTTCCAATCTGTGGAGCCCTAAAACTTGGCGGGGATCGGGAGTGGGAAGGATTGCTGGAGAATGGACGGCCAGTCTACTCTACTGGCCAAAACTAAATTTTCATGTGGCTTCCTTTAAATGCACCACCAGCCTGGTGAGTAAAGAGCCTGGAGTCAGCTAGGTCAGTGTAAAGGAATCTTTCTACATGCTGGAGACCGAAATCCGTTCTGGCTCCCCAGTCTCTCTGGTTTTGGACTGGCTTCCCTTCATTCTCATCACTATGTGCTGTCAAAATGATTCTTCTAACATGCAAATAAATATCTTCTTGTCACTTGCCTGTTTGGAATTCTTCAATGGTCCCATTAGTCTCTGTCATCTGCAACCAAGAGTCCT